TGCAAGAAAATGAATGTTTTCGTGAATCTCCATTTATTCAGTAAGTAGAGAAATGTAACATTCACAGACTGTCAGGTATTGCTCCGCAGACAGCTCCATTTCATGTTAAACCAGACAAATTTTAGCTTGAAAGTGTTTCACTGTTACTTTCAGGTCAATCCAGGTATGCCTGATAAAAAGGTAAACTGAATTGTAATAAGATTAGTTTTTCTATATACGCAAATCCTTCTTGGTCCCTGGTCTATGGAATTGGTCTACAGAACTACATCTATTAGTCACGTATATACATGCAACCTAGACTTGATTTTTATCCTTTAAAAGGTCCAGATGTAGGTCAGTCAACTACACTGCCAGTGTAGTTACATGCTTAAAACTTCAAAAGGTTATTATAAACTTTGGAGAATAGCGTTTAGCTGAGCAGATTTCTCATTGAGTCATCTTCTTTCTTCTTGACAATATAATTTCTTAAAAAAACTATATCACAATTAACATCCATATATAAGTTAACGAGAAGTTTACATTGCTTCACAAGCTTGAACTTTTATGAGAATTTGTCTAGCTGCAGCTGCATTCTACAACTCATCTTGAGAACAGTTTTCCAAAGAAGTGAAATGAAGCCTGAGTTGTTAAGTCTATGCTTGAGAGTAATAGCTTCAGAGTTGAGCTACTTCTTCCTTTCTGACTGGCCTATTGACTGAAAACTGTTTTGCTTTGCATTACCACTGATCATTGCGCTTATCTATCTCTATTTCAGCTTACATGCTTCGTATCGGTTAGAAATAGTCGTTTGGTAATCAGAACAAACGGTTCCAACTTTAACATTGTTGGAAAACGTCAGTTCCTAGGTAGATCAGCTTTTATGTTCGCTTTCAGATGAAGGGTTCCCCATAACTACTACCAAATATCCTTCTTTTCAGTAGCAAGCATCAAAATGCACTTTATAGTTAATCCGTTTTATTCACTGCTCATTGAAATAAGCCCAACTGATCCACATCACATCTATTATATTTCATTTATAAGACGACAGTACTTCCATATTAGATTTGTTTAAATGACATAACAAATTCGTCAAATAGACAAATCTAGTATGGAATAGCATTCTACAAAAGTGCCCAAGTTTTATACTTAGGCTGATAGCACTTCCATAGGGTTTTATTAGTTTCCAATCACTATTCTTTTTAATGAAACTGTAGGTAGTTGTCAGTGATATCATTCACTAAATTTATACGGAATACTTATGCTATGATAACGGAAACAAGAGAATACGACATCACCAAAGAACCTCGCATTACTGAGTAGTGGCTGGAGTTGCCACACCTCGTATCGACGCACCAAATGAAAGATAAGGAGATAGATAAGAAAGCAGTTAAAAGTGGGAGAAAGTCATCAGAAGAGGGGGGGAAATGAAAGGGTACTGAAATGCAGTATGATGATAGCGTATGGATACATTAAGGCCATTGCAATCGATTCTCAGCCATACTCTCTACAGTTTCCGACCGCTAGTTTCTGTTGTCATATGAAAGCAAACCAAGAAGCTTACACTCCTCACACCAACAGTCAAAGACTCCAGGGACTGAAACCATCTTTTAGTCTGGCTGCTTATAACCTTTCCCCATTCTGGAACTACTTCAGATAACATTGTATGGTGGAGCAGACAATGAGTAAGCACGCGTAACACAAGTAACGGACACCTGAATAGGTGAAGGTTCACAACCTTACCAACTAAATTCCCTCTTCTCCCTACAACTGTACACCTGACTTCCATATTACTGACTTGGTGACATAAAAATACAACGGACTATACTACAAAGGCAACGGTGGTCGAACACCAGAAACTTTCTCATATCCTCTACCTTTAATGGTCTCGTTTCACAGCTAAACAGTAGAACACAGTACACTATATCGTAGTATACTCGATCCTTAATAAGCAATCGAATATCACGGCGGCGCGATAAATGGTGTAAGTTACCGAAAGTCAATCCAGGCCTTTGCATTTGTTGGGAGATTTTGCTGATCAGTGTGCCACTTAGGTCGATTCTACTTCTTAGGCAAATGAAGTGATCAGCGTGTTCAACGATTTCACTCTCTATTATTAAACAAGGCATCATTGAAAACATGTACTGCAGAAATAATTTTCATTTGAGTGGAGAGAAAAGTATCGTAGGCATTCTCAAACTACCACCCAAGGTATCCAGAAAACTTTCCACCTCTCCAGTGTCTTCAAAACATTGAAGTGAATGTCATAGAAATCTGAAATATCTTGTATACTTATTATTGTAAGCAAATGATAAAAACTCACAGAATCAAATGAATTCAGTCTTATTCCGTTAATGGTGTTGTTTAAATTGAAAATAAAGGTATGAAGAAAGTTTATTACTCCTAGTTTATATATTAAACATAAGAGTAAGTTGGATGTTTGAATTTTATGATTAGATTTCCATTTTTTCAAGTAAAGAGTAGTAGTATTTATAAAGAGTGTAAAGAATGTTGAAGATAAGATCATAAGAGAGATTGTTATAATGATAGTGCACTTTTTAGAAGACACCGGAGAATAACAGAAACGTATATGTCGATATCTTTCACAGTATAACTAATTTCAAGGTCACACTGATATAAGCCGATTTTTATGTCTTATATGCTGACTGAATACACAAGAATTCACTCTTATTAAACTGAACCTTATTCATACCATTCAGTAGATAAACACTAGCATTCTTGTTTGTTTCATATATAACAGAGTTTTCTAGAAATGTTCTTAACAGGACCAGTTTATCATACCATATCATTAATCAGTCAGTAAGCCACTTGTAACTAGATAGTTAAGAAGTTCACGTATGTTTCACTTAACAGTTACTGTGAATATCATTATCAATTCTTCAATGTTTTCATTTTCATGAATCCTTTATTGACCCTCTACACCACAACTAATTCTTGAAACCTGTATCTCTAATACTAACTTTAAGAACGCATCTACTGCAGACTTCATTGATGTGTTCTTTTTAACTAGTCAATTGTTTATTTTCTTTCACAGAAACCACTTCTTTATATTTAACATTAACGAAACCTTCACAATAAGATTTTCTTCGTTTCATTAGTCTACAAAGTACAATGTAAAGGGTGTTAGGAAACGTTTACTTTGTATAGTACTGATAGGTAGTTGCTAGCAGTGCAATCTAGGATCCGCATTTCTTCCTATTTGGGACTCGTCAGCTGGATGTACCTGCCTCCCAGTGAGTGGTGTTGTTCCCACCGGGACTCGGACTCGGGAGCGATCGCTGCAAACGCCAGAGCGTTATCCACTACACCACCGGACCACGATAGCCACCTCCTGTGTGACGGGGTATAGGTTTTAGTGTTATTGCTTGTATTACACCGTCGTTGATTGGACTAAATTGATAAGTCTCTGTTGACATATGGGCTCCTGTGAGGATGCCTCGATACTGCCTGTCTTTTTAACTATGTATAGTAATGATGGGTAGTGGCTAGCAGTGGAATCCAGGATCTCGTTTGCAGCAATCGCTCCCGAGTCCGAGTCCCGGTGGGAACATCACTCACGAGTCCCAAATAGGAGGAAATGCGCATCCTGGATTGCACTGCTAGCCACTACCCATCATTACTATACATAGTTAAAAAGACAGGCAGTATCGAGGCATCCTCACAGGAGCCCATATGTCAACAGAGACTTATCAATTTAGTCCAATCAACGACGGTATAATACAAGCAATAACACTAAAACGTCTACTTTATTTTGTTAAATCTCCAATAATACAATAATCGAAACTGGAGTTGTGTATCCAGAAGTAACTTCGCCATTATCTGTCCTAACTTGTTCACTTTGCAGTTCTTACACTTTCCAGTTCTTAAGCCTAACCCAATTTTTTAACTTTCATATTGTTATTGCGTAGATGATTTTCGTCTAGCTTAGTTACAAATTTGTTTACTTCTTGATTTCAGTTCAAGTTTACTCATGTTGTCAAAGACTTTCACACTTCTCAAATAATTTCCATTCTTATGTTATTTTCATGGCTTCAAACTACTAACAGCTACTTATTAGAAAATGCTGACACTTTTATGTACACGATGTTTAAATACGGTTGTACAGCCAAAAGCAAATTTATTTGCTGAAATCATTACTTTTTTTGTTGCTCTTGGTAATTTCTCGGTGAAAGGATACAAAAAGAGATTACTTTAATACACGTCAGAAGTGAACAATCAATAGTAGCCCTAAAATCTCACAAAACCCATATCCTTTACTCTTACTGACTATCTGACTTAGTTGCTGAAAAATCACAGGGGTGAATGCAGCTAGATTATCGGCAACTCAACTAAGTTGAACTTCAGATATACCTATAAAGATTTTACGAGTTAGCTAAAGGTAAGAGATTAGGAATGCAAGTTCTATGTACCTTTTCCCAATAACTTCTTCCATAGAAATAAACAGTCTGTATTTGGTCTAAACTTCAAATGAATTTTAGTTGTCCCAAAATGGAAAACGATGTTTCCTCCACTCAAATGTTTATGAACCGTTATTAAGTTTACTTGTCTGTGGCTAGCAGAAGAATCCAGTATGCGTGTTTCGTCCAAGTAAATTACCATACTTAACAATCAGGCAATATCAAGGCATCCGTATACGAACCCACATACCAATAGAGATGGAACAATTCGATCTAGTAAAACAACGGAGAATTACAGGCTTATCCATGAATAGTAATGTTACTCAGTTGTTTTTTGTATCATGATTTATTCCAGCATATATTTATAAATTGTACCGCGGCACCATAATCGGAAGAAAATTGCTGAATGACAGTCGCCCTCAATATAAAATAAAAGATGATTACAGCTTAGTTTCGTGACATAATCAAAAATAATGCTCAAGTCACTTTCTTTAATAACATCTTTTTCTCTCTGACAATCTTCAACCCAACGTCTTGATTTGCAAACTAAGTTACTAACACGTAACCATAAGAGATGATGTACAACTGACTGACTTAGTGACTTACCTAATGATCCAATGTAAAAATCCATCTCGTTACTGAGGTGATTCAATTAATCACAGTTCAAGGCAACTTAGAAACAGTGGAATAGCAATAGAAAAATGATTACTGTAGAAAAGCCAAGAAAACAAGAGACATACAAGTGTTGAACGAGTTTCAAATAAAAGATTGCTCAAAACTTCAGAAAAAAAGACAGAATGTATCTACAATAATCGCATCAATTTGAGCTACAGCATTCGAGAAGGGAAAGCAGCTATTTCTACTGTCTTGTTCAGGTCCAACCGAAATATTTACAATGAATAACCTTGACATCAATAGATCTGTATATATATGTTAAGTCTCTATGCTTTTTTCCAACGGAATGAAACATTGTTCCTCATCTGCTATGAACAATATCAACTTCATTACTTAGTTTCTGACATATTAAGGGTCATAGTCAATCAAATCTCTCCGTGGAAACCTTGTTCAAATGACGTTAAAAGAAATTCTTGCCTCCACTTCTTCGATAACCAGCAAAATGATGCCAACTTAGTGAGTTCTTTAAAAGTTCCTAATACAGTTTTGCAAACTGAAAAGTTCTTATTTTGGTGCACAACACTTCAACATTTTAAAAGTGAACCTAAGTCTGAAGTAAATCAGCTTTACAACGACTTAATTGTACCAATGTATTTTGTAAAGTTACGGGTATAATAATAATTATTATTACTTGTCCCTTTGGTTCCTAGTGGAACATAGGTCTTCAGTAAAACGTCTCCATTCCACTCTCTTCTCTGCAATCTTTTGAAACTGGCTCCACGACTACCCATAACCTTTCATTTCTTCTTCACACCATCTCCTCCATGTCACCATCACCTGGGAAGCCCAACTGGCCGTTTCCCATCGGGGTTCCACTGGACGACCTGGTCTGACAAGTGATATCCACAGTCGGCCTTCTCAGTGTATGCCCGATCCAATCCATCTCTACTTCCTTCTGCATATTTGTTGAGCGATAGCTTCTTGGTTGGTTCGTTGCCAGCCAGCCAGAGTTCCTTGTTGCTCATTCTTATTATTCTGGCCATCTGAGCTTCAGTAACGAGCCAGTGTAGGCAGCTGTTGATGAATGTCTGTAGTTTGTTGCAAATGCCTTCCGTAACGCACCAAGTCTCTGAACCATCACAGAGAAGCACTGACTTGATTGAATTAGTGTTGAAAATCCGCATCTTGCTCTTTATGCCGAGTGCAGAAGATCTCCACACTGGTTTCAGGTTAATGAAGGCCTGTCTTGCTTTTCCGATCCTGGCTGGCTTTGACGTCCTCGTCTGTGCCTGTGCCACCTGTAGTTGAAGCGATGCTACCCAGATAGGTGAAAGAGACACAAGTCATCACTGGCGAAATCAAAATCTTCTTCTAGGGCCTTTTCATCGGTCCAGCCAGCCAGCGTATGACCTTCTTCTTGTTCCTCACTGTTTGTTGCATGATCCAGTCGACCACAATCAGGAAGATCATAGGTGATAATAGGCAGCCTTGTCTTACTCCTATCTTCACTTCAAAGGCATCACCGAGCTTCCCATAATGAATCACTTGGCATGTGGTGTCCTCATATAGTTGTTGAATGAGGTTGACGAGGATTTGTGGCATTCCGTAGTGTAGAAGCAGTTGCCAAATCACTTCTCGGTCGACGCTGTCGAAGGCCTTTTCAAAGTCGATGAAGTTGAGGTAGAGTTGAGTTGACTACCATTCTATGCTCTGTTCTGTGATAATGAGTAGCGTTGCAATTCGGTCTGCACATGATTTGTTCTTCCTGAAGCCAGCCAGCAAACTGTTCCTGTCGTAGTTTTGAATCTAGAGCATTGTTTAGTCTCTCCAGGATGATGCGGCATAATATTTTGCTTCGGGGTGGACAAGAGTGGAGCATGATTCCACGCCAGTTCTTGCAATTACTGAGGTCTCCCTTCTTCGGGAGTTTGACAAGGTAGCTCGTAACATGTATAAACGTTTGTTTAGTATTTTGACTATCTGAGTGAAACAACCATGGTTTGACAGATTAGTACTGTTACTTAGTGTTGATCGAAGGTGAAATAAAAATTTTGCCACGGTGGTCGCTTGTTCGAATCCAGCCGCGGCCCAAATTTTCATCTCATCTTCAATCATCAGCCAGTAAAAACATTTGTGGAATACCTTACTTTAGTGAATCGATCAACAACTCAGTAGCTACATATCAAAGTTGATCAGCTAACTTCAACCCCCATTTAGACAATACCTCGATTGATTATCACTATGTGATTATGCCATGTATACAACATAATGTCACAAGGGATCAGCCAACCAGATACCTTATCTCAGTACTGAGTAATACAAATTCAGATTTTCGAGGGAATATAATTTTATTCAAGTTTGTAAATATACCTTGCTGAGATGTTTTGAAAAGCCACAAAAGTTATCATAATAGAAGCTTTTTTTCAATGTGATGAAGTTAATATGCTCAATACATAGAATATATCTGCCTTTCTCCTTAATTGGAATGTTCAATATTTTAGTCTGTTTCTTTTTTTTTTGAAGAATATTTTAAATTTCTAACTAATCACAACGTGAAAACTGGTGATGACAATGAGTATTCATCTCCTTCTTTGAATTGAACAAGAAAGTAAAGCTATTCAGCCTACATTTTAAAATGACGAATCTTAACTGAAAATTTCAAGTTCACAAGTGTATCATAACCTCATTTTTTACAACGACTTATCTGTGCATGAGATACATCTCTGACAGTTTTACTGATGTAATCCTAAAGAACACAGATGTAAACCTCTTGTATCGTTACATATCAATCAACAAATACAAAACACAAACAGAGAAGACCAGACCAACTGTCCAAACCAAGAGTCTATTTAGTAATTCATAGCAACTAACCTATATGAGTGAACAATAACATATAGTGAGAGATTTTGAGTGACGGCATGATAGCTAAATAGAATGAGTGATCGACTTCATACCTTTAGGTGGATCAGCCGATCAAAACCAAAATGACAACAGTCACTGTCCAACATACGATGTACTACGGCTTATATATTTGAAAAAGGAACATACATTGCTGTATACAGACAAAATCCACTTCATATTTGAAGATGAACGCTTCTGACAAGTTGACGGTATAGCTATCCGCTGAAGTTTATAAACCGTTGTAGAGGTCATGTAGCACCGAAACCAACTCCTAAAATAGGCATCCATATCACTCTACCAAACAGAGGGGAGTTGAATGGTATACTTTCGAGACGCAGGCTAACATCAACCACTAAAAAACATATTAGGCAGTTAATCTTATCATTGTGGAAAAAACAAAACACATCCTTCATCAAAAACCTAAACACCCCATCGATGATTACGTCACATCCTACTGTGTTTACCAATTTCCACACATACATGGGGAAGAGTAGTCCAGCCATGCAGTTGAGGGTAGGAGAACATGCACCTATATGGCTTCAAAAACAAATGGAGTGTGAAACCATGATAAACGCTGGTGGGAGACGACCCTCTTCATCTATAGCCAAATATATCATAGAAACAGGTCACAAAATTATTGTTCAAACAGCATTCCAAGTTTCATATAGAAACAGTCGGGGACGTATACTGAGATTTGTGGTAGCCATAGCTAGAAACAAATTGAAACCACCTTTATGCGTATAAAAACGATTTTTTCTTACACTACACCTACCCCCTCGGTAAACTCTGTTTTCTTACCAAGATTAGTATCAACTATGTCACTTCCTATCTCTACTCATTCTTTTTGATTTTAATCCCCTATTATCTTAATTGTTGGACTTGCTCTCCTACTCTTTGGGTTAATATATATTGACTTGAAAAGTTAATGTGTGATCAAACTGTTTGAAATGTGTTGCGCAAATACATCACATTGTTCAGATAAACTTCATCTTCTAATTACATTATCAACATACATCCACTGCCTAAGACGTCAGTTTATTTGGTTTAAGCGTTCTTTTGTTCAATTCTACATAAGATTTGGACGTTGAAAGTTAAAATATGTAGCTATGCGAGTAGTTTTAATAAAACACAAGTGCTAATGATGAGTTCTGAGTAAGAATAATTTAAGAAGGTCATAGAAGTGATGATGTTGGCAACTGAATAATGTATAGAATAAAATGAAATGATCTACAAAAGCAGAGTTTGCAATGATCAGGAAAGACTTATACACTGGTGAAGGTTTGTTAGTGGTTGATAAGCTTCATCTGCTTACATTATGGAAGTTATTGTCATATTTCTTCTACAGCATATCCCAAGACGCTTTTGCTTACATACATATAAACATGCATACATTCAGTTCTTATGGCTTATCTTTTCTAACACTTTTATCAGAACAAAAAAGCAGCACAAATGGAGTGCTTGTCCGCTGAGTGAAACACTGTGCCTAGTTATCAGTTCAATCTGGTCTTTATTTTGTAATCACATTGGGAATCATTTGCATAACAACGAGAAGCAGTTTTAGTGTAACCAGTATCCTGCCAATTTTCCCTATATTCTGGAAGCTAGAACTATTCTAGCTAGTATTACTTAAGTAGATTACATCTTTAGGTAGTCGTGAATACCACATCAGAGTAACAACTGACAGTCAGACCGTTTACCTACAGTTTTCTAACGTACACGTAGTTGGATGGAGGCAGTTGGCATGAAACCAATTTCATGCTTTCTAGCACTCATCAGCAATCTCAACCGAACTGATTTCCCCTCTGACATTCGAACTCACGTCATCCAGAGCTGCGGTCAGAGATGTTGCCACTGAACTATTCAGGTCACAAGTGACCTACTCTAGGACTGGATTAGGTTTATTGATTGGTTACTAGAGGGTAACCGACTTCGTTTTGTTTAGTCCTATAAGCTCACAGAATTCTGTCAACCGGTTTGCAGTGTAGCTACCGAGCTAGGTACATCACCATCACAACACACTGTGACATATATTAGTTGGAGGTTAATCGTGGCCCGAATAGCTCAGTGGTAGCATCTCTGACTGTAACATCGAATGAGACGGGTTAAAAATTTCAGATGGGACAAGCGTCCAAAAACCACCGTACCAAGGTCAAGCAGCATTTCCTGTCAATTGTCTATATCTAACTAACATC